GCACGCAGCAACAAGACAATTTGAGTGTTCTGCCTCGGGAAAACATGCCGCCTCTGAAATTCTGAGATAGCGCCCTGGGCCTGTGACAAGTACATGAGCCCGATCGTGGTGCAAGTCGCTGACCCGTCGTACTGTCCCATGGTGCTATTTCAAGTTATTTCCCTCCCTCCTCAATTGTTGGTCTCGCCTTCGAAGGGTGCCCTCAACAAAACGAGCCACACCAGAGTTGGGGGGTTCGATTTGGGAAGACCACGTAAGGCGGGGTCATTCAATGGATTCCAGACTCCGACCCCGGCGGCCCCAAAGTCTGGCTTGCTTCCGTTAGGTCTACTTTCGCGAACCATTGTAAAGGTTCTTAGTTTTGGACACCCCCAGGTTCGTTGGTTCACGTGTTCATTCAGTTGTGTCCAGGGATGGACCCCTGTTAGGCCTTTACGGGTATTCAGTCCACAGGCGTATCGCAAGGAAGCCAGTCCGCATGAAGGTTGATGCATTACATGCTCCGGATGGCCATCAGGCCCAAGGGTTCGAGTCAACAGGATAAAAGACGTCAGGTTGCCGCAACTCGTGATGTTGGTTTGAGTTCGGCATCAACATTGGTAGCGGAGCCGAAGATCGAGGCCTCGTTGCGGTACTTCGGCATCTGCAGGTGGCGGGAGGCTGCGTGCCAATGTTCGATGGGGAAGCCAAGGACGAGAAGCTTGGCTTGGGGGCACGATCCTACCAGATGCAGGCGTGGCTGCAGTGCACAAGGCTGCCGGAACAGCGGGCGCTTCCTTGTATTCTGCGCTGGGAGGACGGGCTTGGAGCGGAGGAGCTGAACCTGGACCGGCTGGCAACAGTCGAGGGCGTGGAGTACAGAGTGGATCCGGACTCGGTTCCTCGACCTGCAGCTCAGCAAGGTTGGCAGAGTCATGACCGAGTTGCTTCGGAAGTTCAAGCGCCTGGATAAGATGGGCATCTCGGAGAGTGATGAGATGGCTTTGCTCTCATCCGTGAAGAACCAGTTCGACTACGGGCTGTTACAACGAGCTGCTCTACTGCAAGATCGGACTTGGCGACGGCACAGGAGCCTTCTGGAGTCAGGCCACGGAACAATCCTGGCCGGTTTGGCCGGAGACGTGAACGCCTCCAGACGGCGTGGATGGCGGAGAACGAGCACTGGGAAGCCTGCACCGTGGGATCAGGCAGCTTTCCTCGACGGAGTACCAGCTGGCAGGAGCCTGCACTTAGCGCTGTATCCCATCGAGAAGCCAAGGATGTCACGAGAATGGAGGTGGACGCGACGTTCCCCATCAATGAGTGGAGCTTCGGCGACTTCAATTATGTGGGAAGCCACTACGACGTGACGAGCAAGGCACGACCACCACCCAGCGGGACTATATGTCGATGAGCGGCTGCAGGAGCTGAACTTCGACAAGAGTGCCGATGACGAGCTGGAGATCGATGGAGAGCTGAAGGCGGACAACCGGACAATCGCGGGCTGTGGGCTCACCCGTCGCGTCCGGACCTCCAGATGCGCTTGGCGAAGGCTCAACGTCACTAGAACGCACCACGCATCAAGTGCTTGAGAAAAGAAGAAGCACCAATGCGCTGGTGGACCAGGCCGGCAAGTTTGAAAGCGAGGGCATCACGCTGAGAAGGATCCAGCACGGACGGGAGATCCTGGTGGCCTGCCAGGACGAACAAGGCGGGCGGCCCGACTTGGATGAGCAAGGCTTGCAAGCGGACCTGCCGCTCTACGTTTGCCGGGAAGACCATGGCGTGCTGCGAGGCGTCTGAGCACGCTCTTCTTGCGGGACATGTGGAACAGTTTCGGAGACACGGAGAAGCCACTCTCCCTGCGCGCTTGCCGCTGCACTGGGTCCCGACGGAATGGCAGATGAGCGACGTCCCTTACCAAGCTGATGTGCCCCAGACAATGGTGGAAGCTGATGGACGAGGGCGCGTTCAAAATCCCCTGGCGCTTCAACAGCAAGTGAAGGGAAAGGCGGCGCCAAGCCAGTAGAAAATTCAGAGGAGTATGTAGGCATTAAGGTTCACGCATTACATGCCCCAGATGGCCGTCAGGCCTGAGGGTTCGAGTCAATAGGAGAAAAGGCGTCAGGTTGCTGCAACTCGTGATGTGGGCTTGAGTTTGGCATCAACACCTGTTTGTTCCTTTGTTTGCCAAGTCTTTGGCTGGATGAAGCCCATTATTCTGACTCAATGGCCACGGGCTCATAGGTACAGCGAGCCTTTGAGCTGAGATTGTGCGAGGGTCACCTGTTTGGAAGGGTTTCCCTGTTCGCATGCAAGTCATGTTGTGAGCCTCCGTCTCCACGTTCGGGTGTTAAGGCCCAGCGTCTCTTCACTCCGGCGTTGCTTGCTTCCAGTCGCATTTTGTTTTTGCCTTGTGTTGTGAAGTGCTTTGGCCCAAGACGTTCCAGGGCGAGAGCACGCAGCGCTGTGTTTGGCAGCGATGGGCAGTGCTGCTAGCGCTTACTACGCAGCAAGCAATGGAACGGGGCATGCCGGGCAACTTGGACGTGCGAAGCTGGAATTTCAGGAGGACTCCGAGGTACCCACCTCCAGTAGCCACGTCTCGCTGGCGAGCCTCGCGACCAGAATCCCCAAAGGCGCTGCATGCAAAGAGGAGCGCGCGGTGGCGTACAATGCCGAAGAATGGCAAGCACGCTTCGGCGGCCAATGAGATGCGCACCTTCACCAGCATATCATGTTGCACGTATGGCAAACAGCGCAGGAGAACTTAGTGATCCATGCATGGAAGTCATCATCTTCCGAGGCCGTTGATTGTGCATTGCACCTATCGATTCGTTTGGGGGGCAATTGGCATATCTGGACTGCATAGGTTTTGTTGCAAGAATGTCTTGTTGGACCGAAGTGGCTAAACAATGCTAAGCACAGGTTTGTGGCTCAGGCGATCAGTTGCCTGCAAGCAGCCCAAACCGGATTCCATTGAACGAAGGCGAGTTCGGGGCTAAATGGCCCCGTTGCCAACAAGATACCTTGCCAACGTCATGTTGCTACACAACTTGGTGTACTTACTCAGTCCGGCAAACTGCCTGAGACATCTGGTTTGTGTTTGTCCAGTTATGTCCAGTTCAAAGTCATCCCCAAGTGGCTCCGACACAAAGGTCGTGTTTTAACTTTGAGCTACACTGGCCAAAGGCCAGAGTGCCACAGGCTAGCCGGTTGCTCGAGCTTGGCTTAGCCGCCCTACGGGGATGTTTCCTGCGGACCCCCAACTGGGGTGTATTTTTATTGGGAAAGGCGTTTTTGGTCGGTGTTCAAAGGAAGCCCATAGGAAACCAGCCAGGGCCTCAAATTCAATCAGTCATTGGTTTCCTTTGGGCTTCAAACACCATCCACAAGGTTTCCTTGGTTTGCTTTACTGGCAGCGCGTGCATTTGAACACTCTCCCGGAAAACATGCAGTCCCAGAAGTTCTGAGATAGTGCCGCGTGGCAAGTACACGAGCCCGATTTGTGTACAGGTGCAATTCGCGGACGTGCTTTCTCAGGATGGTGCTATTTCAGACAACTCCATTCCTCTCAGGTCTCCTGAACCCGAACCCTGGGAGGGAGCCAGTACGTGCTGCCATGCTGAATATGTGTCGGCACATATTGCGTCAGTCGCTTGTGATCTTTGCAGATGGAAGTGAACCATAGGCCGCTAGGATGATGGACAGTTGGCTTCTCGTGTCTTCGTTTGTGAGCAAGCAAAGGACATGCACCCATTTCGGGGGGTTCCCTCATGCCACACAGCCCTTCTGGTGCCAAAGGTTAGGCTTTGAGTGAAGAATGGCTTAGCTGCTTTTTGGGAAGGATGCTGGATCTACATGAGTGACCTGTTCCATCTCACGCCCCTTTTGGATGGTTCGCAAAGGGAAGCCACAAAAAAGGCAAATTTCAAAGCCAAGACCTTGTGACCAGTCCGGCAGCCATTGGGTACGGGTTCGAGAACTTATCTTTTTCTCGGTCAAGTAAGGCAAGCAAGGCAAGTAAGGCAAGTATGGCAAGTGATCCAAACGGGAACAAATGCGTTTGCATAGCTTGTGGCGAGCTCATGTCGGGGTAAAACAAGCTCACCATGATAAAGATCCGTTACTTGGGACCCCTTGCTTCAGGCTTTGGACATATAAACTTGCAGAACGCGTTGAACCAAGAGCTCATTGTAGTGTTTCAGCGCTTCAACCACAAACCAAAGCTTCATGCGGTCGTAACTGAGTGGATCCTTCGCTGCATTGGTCGCACGCGGGCCCGTGTGAAAAGAAGCCCGTGTGAAAAGAAGCAGCTGCTCAAAGCGTCCTTACCTGACAGTTTGTGACCCAATTTATCGCATTTGCCAATTTAGGGACTTGTTCAGGAGGAACCACATTGTTTTCCTCTTAGGCCCTTGGTTCCAACATCTTGCTGTTGCTATTGCGAATGACCAACTGAGGGGGTGATGTGTAAAAGTGGCAATGAAAGACATGTGCTCGCCGGATCAGGGGAAGAAACTGGGCCTCGGGCGCGCAGCCTTTCACGCAACTTCTGCCTTAACCCGAACCCTGATAAGAAGCTTTGCCCATTATCCTGTGAATTGAGCCAGTCGAGAACCCCCCCCCTCCCAGGCGAGGCCAGGTCTTTCAACGAGCTTCTTTGAATGAACCGAGGAGGGATTCAATGAGCATGTCCCTTTGGTCATAATCTGGTTGTCAGTCGTTTGAGAATTTCCAAGCATAGGAAATCCCCAAAGCACGGTTGGCTTGCTATTGGTTTCCCTTCAACCACCACCTCAAATTTGGCTAGTCACAAGTTGATGCCGTTCACTAGGGTGCCCTTTGCAAATTGCTACATGGCCCAAGCAGATTGGACGTAAGGCACCCTTGGGCATGACTGTTTGTTTTTTAGGGTACCCCCTTTTTGGCGTTGTTTTTTTGGGAAACCAAAAGGACTGGCGAAATCCATTTGGGGGGTTCCCCGAAAAATGAGAGACACATTCGGACCCGTACCGTAGGTCTTCCTCACTTCTGTGGAGCTGTGCCAGAGTGCGGTGCAGCAACTGGGCCCCTCCCTCTCGGGTCTCGACCTGAACATGGCCTTGGCCAAGGTCTTTCCCACTCTCATGGCCGCTCGGCGACGTGCGTGGGTATGGGTCAAAATGAGTCACCACCAGAAAACCTGGACCGCTGGTTTTAGTCCTTGGTTCCATTTACCAGGGCAAGCCATTTTGGGGTTGCCCTATTTTTGAGCCACACCCAAGTGGCGTTGAGTTGGATTGAACATCGGATGGGTTTTCGGGCTTGTGTTTGTTTGAGTTGGAATTTCGGGGTGTAACCCGGAAGCTAAAGGGCAACCACCCATGGGTTGCTCCTTGGAGTGCCTCTGCTTTCCTAGGCAAGGCACACCCTCCCATCATTCCTCCCAGCCGAGCCAAAGCAACCCCAAGAATCCCTGAGCCCCAAGCAACCCTGAACCAGGAACCAACACTAACCGAAGCAACGACAAACCCCAAGTCATAGGGATCATCTGCAGCCCCTGCTTTGCAAACTCCGCGCGCCTTGCAAGGAGCGCACAGCGATGTCCAGCGACGTGAAGGTGGGGGTGTCCTCGGACAAGTTGGTACAGCAGCTGGCCAAGCACCCCAAGGCCGGGAGTTTCCGAAAATGACCAAGCCATTGGTAAAAGCTCTTGGGCCTTGGGTGTTTTCCTTTGCTAGCCGGATTTCTTTCCAAAGCCATCAGCCTCTGAAATTTGGGTTTTCTACGGACCCATGAAGGTGCTATGTTGGGCGTCCATTTCTTTTTTCAGGTAACGACTGTGTTTAATCCGGAGGCGTCGGCAGTGAAAGGCTGCAAGGGATTCTCTGAGGGTGAACTAGACATGCTTGGGAAGAATCTTCCAGAAGTTCCTGTTAACCGTAAAGATGAGTGCCAAGGGTCAGATAGGACTTTGCACGCGCATTCCGGCGCACCCTTGAAAGCCAACACGTGCTCTCAACAGAGGCGATTTCGCTTCTTCGCTGCACAGGCACATCTGCTGGGCCCGGCCCTGCCCGTTTGTCTTTTTGGAGGTTGACTTCATGTTTCACTGGCAGCAGTCGACTTGTAGCCTACGACCAGTTCCAAAAATAAACCAGTTCCCGGTTCTCACTCGCCCAAAGCCGACCTTTTAACCTTTTGGTTTGCCTGATTTGGTCCATTTTTAGTAAAGGTCCCAAAATGTTGACCTTTTATTTCCAGGTCCTTTGGGCAAGTGAGGGTTCCATACTTGGAACCAGAGCCCGGTCGACCTTTTCACCTTGGTGGTCTTCCTGTGTTGATCCATACTTAGTCAAAAACCACACAAGGGTGAACCTTCTATTTTCAGGTCCTTTGGGCAAATGAGACTAAAGAGGGTCTGTTTGTAACTGGGGAACCCATTCAGATTGGATGTTCATGTTTATTATGTCATATATTGTGGCAACAGAGGATACCGACCTGGAGGGATCCTTTCGGAGAGAAGTAAGAGGCGCCAAGCTGTAGTGTCGCCTTCACGGACTTAGACCGAACCCGCCAGGGTAGGAAATTGGTGTCACGTCTTGCTCCGTGTTCCTTTTCCTCTGTACCTTTTGTTTGCCCATGCGACAGGTAGTTTCCCCTGTTCCGTTTCCCGCACAGTGTACCCCGTGTGTCCAACCGGGGGTCCCCATATGTCCCCCTTTCTGTGGCCAAATTTACGTGAGTTTCCCTGTGTTGAAAGAGCCAACATCTACCTGGAGTGCTGGTTCAAGGCTCGGAGTGGTCGACTCAGGTGGGCTGCGAGGCTGTGACCAAGATGGTCATCGCCTCCGTCGCTCGGTCCGAGCGCCCCTCGCGGCCCCTGGCGCCGTGGCTGTCAACTTCCTGCGCCCGCGCGACTTTGCCCGCGCGTTTGTTGGCAACGCGCGCGGGGGGAAGTCGTTATGGGCACACCACAAGAGCAATCGTCAAAACCCGGGTAGATGAAGGTTAGTAAGGGACAACCAGCCAAAAACAGCTGCGACCGCCCCTGTATTTCTTTACATGGTTCTGGGTCAACCATTTTGATGCCGGGTTTTGATTGTCACTCACAAGGGGTTGTCTATGTTTGAACGCAGGTTCCTCAAAATGGGTTGAGTTATTTGGGTTAGGCCAGCGCTTGATTTGAACATTTGGTTTAAGCAAACGCCTTCTCGTTCCCTTTGGTGAAACAAACATTGCCGCCCAGCCCTATTTTTGGTTCAAGCCATGTGGCCGGATATGTTTGGGCTGCTTTTGACTTTCTCTTCCAAACCACATGGATAGCGCCCAGAACCAGGCGAATTGCTACTTGGCTTACTGAGAATGACAGCAGTCAACAGTTGTGGCTTCCTTACTTGATTTCAAAGGATCCGGTCAGCCGCGCGGATCGTGCATTGATCGAGAGGTCTGGAGGAGTCGGGGGAAAGAGCTGTCGTTTTCAATGGCAACTGCGGGCTCGCCGTAAATCGGAGCCCTACAATTTGTGGGTGTTCCTTAGCCATACGCAGTGCCGAAGACTACTGTGGGTTGTCCTTTGGAACCCACAGCCTACGAAGTGTTTTGCTGAAACAGAGAAGCACTCACCTGTTTGGAAACCAAAGACACTTGCAAACAACGCACTTGTGTTGTGCAAGCGAAAGCAACACATTGTTTGGGCAACAAAGCACAGCCTACTTGAACAAACCCCTTTGGGGGGAACCCAAGAAACACATGCCTTTTGGAAGGAGACAGACCGACTAACGATTTGGAAACGAAAGAGAATACATGTTACCCAAAAACCGCCCATGTGTTGGAGTATTTTTGGTCCACCTGGAATCGCCCCAGGTGCTGCTGCGCACCCTCCTGGGGGACTTTGGGCTACGCCTTTGCGCGCAGAAGGACCTCCAGCGGTCAGTCAGGGGTCCCCGGGTCCCCGCGCAGGGCCTAGGAGGGGCTCCCTTGGCTTTAGAACAAGGGGAGTGGAGCAATCACAGCAAAACTGGACAAGAATGAATGAACTGGGGTCAGCCATTTTGACTCCCACAGCCCTACGGATCCCCCACCCCGTCCTGCTCAGTGGGATACATGAAGCAATCCAGTGTTGAAGTGATTGTTAGATGGGTTAAGAATGGGGAGCAAAAAACATCATGACGGCAAACATTTGGAGGGCCGCTCGCATGTGAACTGACGTTTGGTGTTCGCATGATCTTTTTTTTAGTCAGGCACCCAAGAGTTAGCATGTGATTGTCAAGTTCTTTGGACAAACATGTGAAGCGGACAAACATGGGGATGCCATAAAGCAGCAGCCCCAAGATAGACGCAGACTCCAGAAAAAAACAACATGTTTGGTTTGAGTCTACCTTGGGCACCACATGGAACTGAATATGTCCACCCCAGACAATCCATTTCATTTGGGCTTTGTTGGCGGAAAAGGGTCTTGGCTTCGGGGGATACCATCCCCCAACCCACGCTATATTTGGGGGGAGGGGTCGAAATGGGGGTTGTTGCTTTTTGATCCCTTTTGTGGTTTCAACTGGATTCCATGCTAAAGATATTCTTGTGGAAACCGCTTAAAGCCTTAAAGGGTGATTACCATCCGTCGGTTTCAACAAGAAGCTGAGCTGGCCAAAGCCGCCCAGCGAGGACGTGGTTCTGCTGCTGCTGCAGGCCCTTGCCACCCAGCTGGAGAACGAGGCGTTTCGTTCGAGTAGCAATGGGTTGCATCCATGTTGACTTGGTAGTTTCCAGCCGTCCGGTTCCTGAGGTGGATTCTGTTAGGTATTTTTGGTTGGTTTGGTGGTTGGGTTTGTACGTAACCCACTGAAAGTTAAACTTTTAGCAGATCTGAGGACCCAGTTGAGGAAGACATATACACAAAGCCCGGGTGAACCTGCATGTAGGGGAACGGGTGCAAGGGAGGGTGTGAAACTGGCGTGTGACCTCTGTCTCGGACGTTTCTCTGACTCACTTGTCTAGACCAAATCGCTCTGTTGATCTTTGATACTTGTCATCAATTCCAGGTTCGTTGGGCACGCGTAAAGGATCATCTGTTTAAGAAGGTGTGCTCCCTCTGCTCCCTCTAGGCTGCAGGTGAATTGAACCTTGAACACGCAACTGGGTCGGAGACAGTGATGTTTAATGGCGCTCCGATCCTGCTGGACCAAATGTCTGCACCCCCAGACCAGCAGGCAAGCCTTGTGCTCTGTCTACAAAGGGAGGCTCCAGAAAATCTGTGGTTTTCGTGGGCTGGATATCTGGGTGTTCAATCATGTTTACCCCATGTTTGAGCGCCTACCTGCACAGCCTTCTTCTGGGTTCCCATTTCAAGCTGCGGTCCTTGCAGCTTTTCTTCACCAGCTGAGTCCCCTGACCCCCCCCCCCTCGCCACCTGCGCCAGGCCGAGTCCAACGGCCAGGTGCGGGCGCAGCTGGTGGCGGTGCTGGCCACCTGCAACCAGTTCTCCAGCGAGACCGTGCGCTTCTGCCTCAGCGAGGCGTGCGCACGGCACGAGCGAGACGGGGGAAACGGGGGCCAGAGATACTCGACCCTTGACTAGGTCCCCCAGTAGTGCCCTTTTACCCGTTCTTGGGGGGAGGGTTCCCCTACTAAGGTAGACCACAGGAAGAAGGGTACCCTTATAGCCGTTCTGGTCCAAAACCATTAGGGCTCAGGGATCGGGCTCCCAGGGCCTGGCGACACTCCCCTGTGCGTCAGGCGTCCACTAAGTCACGGTCTCCTCCGTGGCGCCCCGCCTTCTCTTGTGCGCGGCCCCCTGGCTTGCTCTGCTGTGTGGCGGTGGTCTCTGGCGTGCTGGGGCTTTGCCTGTTGCTGGCTGCGGCCATGTTGTCCCGGGACCCGGCGGTGCTGCGGGCCCTGTCTGCCCTTTCTTCCACCACCCTGGCCACACTTGATGCCCTGATGTCAGAGGTGGTGTTCTTTCAGGATCCTGATCCTGAGGCCTGGCGTGGCCATGCGGACCTTCACTTCAGGGTTGATGCTGGGATCTCCCCTACGGAGTGGGTCTGCTCTGCCTTTTCTCCTGGCCTTCCGCCTGACCTGCATGCCACGCCCCGGACGCGCCGGCTCATGTTTGAGATGCTTCTGAGAGCCCCGGTGCAGTTCACCACCCTCCTCAACCGGCCTGGCGGTCACTTTAGGGTGAAAGGGGCGTCCTTGGTGGCTGGCACCATGCCTCGTGTGGCCCTGGTGGACCTTGATTCACAGGTCTGGATTGTCCCTGACCCGGACTTTGATGCTCCGCTGGCCGTCACCCTGTTTGCGGGGTCCTTTCATGGATGGGGTCAGGCGGCTGAGGCCATCAGGCAGTTGGTGGGCCTGGACATCCAGCAGGAGCTCATGGTGGATTTCTCGCCACAGGTTGTTGCCTCGCTGTCTGTTGCGCTGGATGTGCCTTGTGTGCTCCCGGTCAACCTGACCAGTTGGGATCCCACCTCAACCCAGGCTGTGATCCTTGCGGATGTGGCTGACCGTGGTCTTCTGCATTGTGTCCCATGGGTGGGCACTCATGTGGCCACTGCTTCTCCGCCCTGCCCTCCTTGGTCCCGGGCTGGTGAACAGGATGGGCTTGGGCTCGGGCTGCTGCCCCTCTGGCTCTTCTCATGGAGTGTGTTGATGGGTTGCCGGATCACCCGCACTTCCCCATCATCCTTGCTGTTGTCCAGTGGGCTGGCTACCGGGTCCATCACTCACTGGTGCATGACCATGCCACTTTTGGGCCATGTGCCAGACGCCGTTGGCTTGCCACCCTGCTGCGGTATGATGTTGAGGTGTCTGAGCCTGTCCCTACTGCCACCTTTGGTGACCCTGTGCCTGTTCCGTGGACCCACCAGGACTTCCAGGTGCAGGAGGCACCCGAGATGGACTTTGCCCGCTTGCTTGATGACCAGGTTCTCCGGCACTATACCAACCCTGCCTTTCTTCCTGGCGCTGAGCCTCGCCAGCACACTGCACAGGAGGTCCTCCAGAGGCGGCTAGCCCCTGCTGATCAGCCACTGCGCACACTGTGCTCGGTACTCGCAGCAGCATGTCCTGGCTGCTGCTACCCTGGCTGACAGGGGCCTCTTTGCCCAGCTTACCCTTGTTGATGGCCGCCCGGCCTTTTTCTCTCCTGCCCAGTGGGCTCTATGGCTTGGAGCAGTCCGGCCCCTTGTCTTTCCTCCTACCTTGGAGGAGGCGTTCCATGGTTTGGGTAACTGTATCTCAGTACCACAGGCAGCCATTCCGTGGACTGTGTTCCTGCGTGCGGTTGGTCTCATTGCTGAGGTACCTGAGCACCTCGTCTTGCGTGTGTGGCACGATCGGCTTCGGGGTGTTGCCCTGCGTCCTGCTGTTGTGCGTGGATGGTACTTTCTTGGAGCTCTGGATCAGCTCATCGACTTTGCCTTCCACCCTCAGGCCCCTGTGCGGGCCGACGCGGAGGGACCGCCAATTGTTGTTGGTGAGGAGACCTTCCCCAGGATGGTCTTCCCCTACCGCATGGGTGCTGCTCGATCCACGCTCCACTCGCCCTCTGGTTTGAGTGTCGAGGTGACGTACCCTGTTGGGGCTGCTGTCTCTTTGGTCCTCCTGGCAGCTCGCCTTCCGCCGGTGGTTTTGCCCCTTCTTGCTGTGTCGACCTTCGCTCGTGTCTGGCTCCCTCGTGAGTCGGCCGGAGACTTGACCGGACATGACTTGGCTGTGGTCCCTGCCCAGGAGCCCGGCCAACTTGCTCCCCAGCCCCCTCCCCCCGTCCTGGTGCCACCGGAGGTTAGGGTCTTTATCCATGACCCCATCCAAAGGGAGCATGTGTTTCATGTCCCCAGAGTTGCTACGCTCCGGCAGCTCATCTGGGCCCTGCCGCTCCCTGACCGTCTCCTGATGCATGTGCGACCGTATGTCCAGGAACGCCCGGTGAGTGATACCACTACGGCTGAGAACCTTGCTGGTCAGCATGTCTTGCTGCGCCTCTTCCCTCTGCCTGGGGGTGGCTTTGGCTCGAGTGAGACCGCCGTCTCCCTGGCTTCGGATGATGATGAGATGGTTCCGGTTGATCCCTTGACCATGCATGACCCGTGGGCTCCCCCCCCAGGCCTCGTCCCCACTGCCAAGTGTGCGCCAACTGGCCCCAGGAAGGGTCATGCTAAGTGGGATCAGCTCCTCCTCCCGGAGGACCATGCCTTCACCCTTGCTGATCTTGGGGTTGCGCCTGTCTTGGTTCCGCGTGGGCAGCTTGGCCCCCTTGTGTCCGGCCTGGCCTTCTGCCCTGTCAGCTTGCTTGCGGAGAGCCTCAAGGCCCCGGTCACCGCACCCACGGCCCTCATTGTGCCGGGGACCTCTCGGGCTTCCTTGCCTGCGCTTCCTTCTGCTGTTGGTATTGAGGGTCCCCTGCAGATCAGTGTCCTGGACCCTGTTGCAGCTCTCACATACAAGCGGCAGGTCGTGCTTGTCCATCTTGCTCCTGGCATTACCTACCGCCCCTCTGTTGAGGCTGCAACGGTCATTGACACTGTTGACTTTGTTGAGCTTGTGGTTGAGAGCTTTGAGGCCCTCGCGGCTGATTTTGCGGGCATCTTGGCCAAGGTGCAGTCTGTCTATGCCCTCCGTGTCCTCCATGGCTCCGTCCACAACTTGGGTCGCGTGGTGCAGTTTACGGTCAAGCTCCCGTTGACCCACAGGCTCGCCTTCCTGCGTCTGTCTGGCACCGGGCCCTTCTTCGTGCGTGATTTCTTGGCCCAAGGAGCTGACCCTCAGGACCATTCAGTGGTGCACCGTTTCTGGCCTCTCAGTGTGGAGGGCCTCCGGGCGGCCCTGGCTGTCTCCCGGGCCCTGGAGGGGTTTGCTGGTCTTGCCCCACTGAAGCGGGGTGTCACAGTCCGTGTCCTGCACTCTCACATCGCGGATGCTCGCAGAGCCTTGTTGCAGGAGGATCCTCGCTTTGTTGAGGCCAACCGGTCCCTCGTCCCCCGGGTCACTTTCCTTGCGGAAGGCTTGCCGTTTGGGGCCACGCCTGGTGCTATTGTTGAGGCTGTCCTCAAAGCTGTGGGTGCACCCTGCATCCCCTTGCGGTCTTTCCGGCGCAACGGCATTCTGGTGTGGGTCTTGGCCTTCGCTCAGGCCCCTGCTCTCATGGATTTCACCCTCCTGTCTGCGGGGCGCCCGTGTGAGGTCATCCTGGCCCCCGAGCCTCCTCCTCAGGCTCGCAAGGCCAGGCCTAAGGGGGGCGGCCTCCACAGTCTCCGCCCAGCGCTGAGACCCCGGGCACCTCTGCCACTCGGCCTTGCCCTTCTGGGCCCGGCCCGACGGGGCTTCGCTTGGGGGGCCTTGAGGTTAAGCAGGACACCCTTGCGGACAAGGTTGACACCCAGTTTGCGCAAGTTTCCGCCCAGGGCTCGTGCAGGTGCCGCGGAGGGGCCAAGGCAGCTCGCATGGGGGCTTGACTATCTGGGCCGCCATGGCCCTCTTGGGGGATGGGTCCCTGGTTGACCCTCTGTGTCCGGTACTGGCAATTGCTGCCTCCCTTGTTGTTGGTGTGCTGCGCCTTTTCCTGTTGCTGTTTGGTGGCTTGTGCTGTACCGTGTTTTTGATGCCACTCGCGGCTTTCCTGGTGAGGGCCCTTTTACCTTGCGCTCCCACAATGTCGGTTCTCTGGCGGCTCACCCTGAGCTTTACTCCGTTGATGCTCACCTTTTCCTGGTTCAGGGGCTTTCGGCTGACAATGTGCGTTCAGTTACTTTTCGGGCGTCCGAGGCCGGCCGCTCTCTCATGCCTGGCCCCTTACTCTCCGTTGTCCCTGACGTGAATGGTGTCCGTCGGGTGGAGTGGGGGGGTGTTGCCTCCCTGGCCTGGAAGTGTGTTGTTCATCCTGTTGATCCCCAGCAGGATGCATCCGGGCTCCTGCCCTCACTGCTGGCTTCGGGCCGCTTCCATGCGGTGTGGGCCACGCTCGGTTCCTTTCGCATGCTTGCGCTCAACTTTTATGCGATTTCTGGTGCCTCCTCTGATGATGTGATCTTCAGCCAGAACCAGGACTACCTCGCTGCCATTTTTGCGTTTGCGGCCCAGTACACTGCCGACCACCCTGTGGTCCTTGCTGGCGATTTCCAGGCCGACCCCTTGGCCTATGCGGCGTGCGATGATGCTGTAGCTACCGGGGTCTGGCTTGACCCCTTGCAGCCTCCGACGGAGGCGACCATGCGGGAGCCCACTTTCAGTCGTGACAAGACCTGGCTTGGATCTGGCCCCCGTACGGCCATCGATACGGTCTTGCTCAACGGCCTTGCTTCTCGCCTGCTTCAGTCGGCTGAGGTGGAGCCCTTGTGTGGCTTTCAGCATGCCCCTGTGATCTTGAGGTTTGCGGCTCCTGATGAGGTCCCACGGGCTGTTGCTTTCGCTGCCTTTGCTCCGCTTGACCTTGCTGGGCTTGTCTCTGAGGACCAGCGCGCTGCCCTTGCTGAGGACATGTGGCAGTCCACGTACCGCCCTGCCTTGGATTCCCTTGGTACTGTGGAGGATGCTTGGGCTCTTTTCTGTGACTTTGCGCTTGCCACTCTTCTCCAGTCTGGTGCCCGGTGGGGGCGCGGCCGCCGTTGTCGGGGTACCCTGCCCCCTCTCCGCCCCCAGCAGGCCTTCGGGCGCCCCTTCCCTTCGTACCATCCCATTGCCCGCTTGGCTAGACTCCTGTCTCTGTCGCGTGAGCTCTTCTATCGGTTGGTGCGGCTCCCGCTTACCTCGGTTGCTGATGCTCAGGCGCTTTTGCCGTGTGCTCGGGAGCTTCGGTTTGCCTACACGGCTGAGGACCTCACCCCGGCGGGTGTTGCCCCCTTGTGTGAGAGAGTTGAGGCTGCCCTCCGTGATGCCCACCTCACGCGGCAGCGCGCCGCTGTTACGCGTTGGAAGGAGCGCCTCCGCCACTCGGCCCTTCACTCGGGTAAGGAGGTCTTTGCTCACCTGCGCAGTGCCACCCAGGCTGCTCACTCCAATTCCCTGGCTGGTCCTGATGCCCCTGCGTACCATCCTGCGGTGGCCCTTGCGCACGCTGCGGACCAGTGGAACACTGTCTTTGAGGTGCATGCGGAGGACTTTCCTGTGGATCCGCTCATGCGCCCTGTCCAGCATCTCCTGGAACAGCGTGCCTCTCCCTTGGTCTTTGACCCTGTGTCTGCTGAGGACCTGGCTGCTGATTCGTCTGCTGGCTTGGATGGTTGGAGGGCCGTTGAGCTCCGTGGACAAGGGTGCTGGCCCCGCCCCTCTGTCCAAGAGGCTCATAGCTGTCCTTCCTATCTGCTACCTGGCTTGGTCGTCGGCAAGGTTTCGAGCCTCCACTGCGTGGCAACGTGCCGTCTTACCGCCTGAATTGGTTGGTGGTGTCCCCGGTCGCCGTGTGGAGGATATCACTCATCACATGGCGCTGGATTTCCATGAGGCGCGTGCCACTGATGCCCCCTTTGCGGGCATCCAGGTTGATCGCTCCAAGTGTTTTGATCGCCTTATGCCTAGGCAGATTGTTGCCCTCCTCACTGCCTTGGGTTTCCCTGTGTCGGTTGCTCGTGCCTGGTGTGGGAACTATGATGGCTTTCGCCGCTTTTTGTCTTGGCGTGGTGCGGTCCACCCTGAGTCCCTGGCCAACCGCAATGGTATTGCCCAGGGGTGCTCCATGTCCGTGCTTACGGCAAATGTGCTGATGACGGCGTGGTCTCTCCTGATTCGGCACTTTCCTGGTGTCACGCCCCGTGTCTTCGTTGATGACGGGTATCTGACCGTGACCACCTTGGATGCGATCCCCAGCTTGGTCCAGGCCGTCCGTGCTACTTCACTCTTCGACTCCTTGGCTGGCCAGCAGTTCAATCTCCACAAGTCAGGTTGGTGGGCCACTCATGATACTTGTGTGGCGGAGCTTCAGCCTGCGTTGCCTCAGGCCCCCCGCCTGAAGGCCTTGCGCCCCTTGGGGGTCACGATCAACCTTGATCTCCGTGGTACCCGGGATGCCCGTGCACCTGCTGTTGCGAGCTTCAGGCGAGCGCTCCGTGCCATCCGGAGTCTCCCGCTCTCTGCTGCTTCCAAAGCTTCCTATGTTGCCCGTAAGGCCATGCCCATGCTGTCGTATGCGGCTGAGCTCAACTTTGTGCCCAAGCGCATCCTTTCTGCCTTGGCTTCTGAGGTTGCCTCTGTACTCTGGGATGGTCGGCCTATGTGGAGGTCCCGCGAACTCCTTCTCGCTGTTGTCCATCCCGGCCACTTGGTTCATCCTGAGTATGCGCTGCCGTACCGCACTATTCTCAATGTTGCGGCCCATCTCCAGCGCTCGGAGGTCTTCAGCCTCAAGTGGAGGATTGCCTTTACCAATCAGCGCCTGCTGCCTTCCACCCTTGTGGCCACTTTCGTGTCGGCGCTCACTGCGTGCGGTCTCCGGTTTCAGGCCCCTGCCTCCGTTGCCTTTGATCATGGCCCCTGGCTCTCCCTGTTTGGCATGTCCCTGCGTTCGCTTAAGCGTTTGCTCCAGTGGACTATTCCTCAGCATGCTTATGCCAGGGCCTGCCGGGGCAAGCGTGCGGACATTGCGCATGGCCCTACTGGTCTCCTGGATGTGGCTTTTTCTCGCTCCCCCTGGAGTGTTCCCCCGTGTCCACGGTGGACCTCCTTTGCCCGTCTCTTGCCTTCCAGGAAGGCTGTGGCCCCGGCGGTTGTTGTGGGTTCGGCCGTCACTGCTGACCGGCTCCATGCCTCGGGCCTGTCTGGTAGCTCTCTCTGTCGGTACTGTGGGCGGGAGCAGGAGACCATTGGTCACCTCGTTGAGTGTCAGGCCCTGCCTGGGGAGGTTGGCACACCCCCCCCCCTTGTTCCCGATCAGGGACCTGCCTTCGCCACCCATGGTCTGCTTGAGGTCCCTGCTGATCTGCAGTCGGCGTTCTGTGCTGCTCAGCCGTGGCCTCCTACTTCTCCTTGGCCACGCTACGGCCTTGGGCACGCCACTCACCTCTGGACTGACGGAAGTGTCAACTTGCCGCAGCACCCTTTCCTGGCCGCTGCCGGCTATGCCGTCGTGTCTGGTTCGCGCGCCACTGTCGATGCTGGTGCGGTTCCGGGTGTCTTTGCGGACAACTATCGTGCGGAGGTGTATGCCATTGTGCGTGCGGCCATGCACGTTCGGGGGCACCTGGTTGTGCATACTGACTCCCAGTCTGCCGTCCAGGCGTGGCAGGCAATTTGTGGGTCTGGTGTGGTTGCTCCCCACATTGCGGCCGCTGACCTCTGGCAGGTCCTGTGGTCCCTTGTCCGGTCGCGTGCTGTGGGTGGTTTCATCCTGGAGCTTCATTGGATTCGAGGTCATGTGGTCATTTCGGCTGCTACTCATCCAATTGAGGCCCTGCATGCCCGATGCAACCATGCTGCTGACCTTGCGGCCAAGGCTGCCGCCAGGGTCTCCTTGGCTGTCCCTGCCCGCAGGCTTGATGCCCTCTTCTTCGCCACCTACCGCCGTCACTTGTGGTTGCAGAGCCTGTTTCTTGCCCTGCCGCGCACCCCCCTTCCCCCCGTGCCTGCCCCTGACCCTGGTGAAGCCCTGTGCCCTGTGGCTCCTGCCCCTCCCCCGGAGCTTGCACCGGGCCCGTGCCATGGCCCTCCGCGCTTCTGTGCTGCTTTTCCCCCGCCGGGGAAGCCTGATGATTGGGTTATGGGTGCCTCATCCTGGGAGGCGTGGAGCAGCTTCCTTCATGGTGCAGTTTGGCTATGTGCTGAGGACGCCTTTCAGCCGGGCCTGGCGGTTGCGTTGGTGGTGTGGAGGCGCTACCCGGTCATCCTGCCCTACCAGGACGGCCGTGCTGCCACAGTGCAAGACCTTCTGGTACACTTCAAAGCAGCTCGGCGATGTGTCACCCGGCGGGCCCCTCTTGCTTTTCCAGGCAAGTGGGAGCCCCGGTTGGGTGCGTATGCGGGCCTGGCGTGGCCCCGGGGGGCCTTCTCTGGAGTGCGCTTGCTGTGCACTCCAGAGGAGGATGCCTTCCTTGAGAGGGCTCGGATGCGGGCGGCCCGTCTGGGCCGCGTCCCTCGCGATTGGGCCTTTTCTCTTGGGTCCCTCGCATGACTTGCGCTGGATGCAGTGGCGCTTGCGGCCTGTGCCGCTGGGCTCTACGTGATGTGGGCTTTGGATGTGAGGGCTGCCTGCCCTCGGAGGCTGTTTCACCTCGTGGTGTGCTTTCTGCCACAGTCTGTGGTATGTGTCACTGGTGGGCACCTGTCCCACTAGGCCTGGACAGATGGTTGGGCGGCATGCCCCTCCGTCAGCCGGCGAATCGTCGCCCGCCGTGTGCCAAAAGGGTACCCTTATTCTAACCTCTCTAGTGGAGGACCTAGTTACAAGAAGCCAAGACGGTACGCAAAAGGGTTGCATAGCGGACGACGAAGTGTCCGCTGCGGAGCGTCTCCCATTCTTTTTCAGGCATCCTTCTTTCTATCGGCCGTTTATTGAAAACAGTAAACAGAATCAACGCCTCGACTGATCCTAGACCTATTTCTTGGAACCCCTCAATGAGTTGGCATGATACAGCATTCCATGGACTCCAAGGCCCAAGCCGCAGTCTCCAACCAGACCTTCCGAAGCAAAATTCGGACGTCTCTCCGCTTCCTTGGGCCGGGGCATCGCCGCGGAAGCTGCCTCGGTCTCTCACCTTCCGAAATCCCCGCGGGGGTTTCTCAAAAATGAAGCGCTCGGATGACGCGGGCGGTTCCCTTCGCGTCCATTGACCATGGCGCAATTTTGGGCACCATGTTTTTGAGCCACGGCTACATGTCAAGGGAGGCACAACTTGTCAACGACACGGCTGCAAAACCACCCTGCGGTAGCTCCTGTTTGCCTGTTATTCTGCCAGTGCCCAAGGTGGAGCTGAGGCGGACATTCCCAGCTGCCGAATTTGTCCCGAGCTGAACGTGGCATCCGAAAAGCCAAGCAGAGCATTGTGAAAAAGGCCAATTCAGAGAATTTAAGGCCAGCTTTTCTGCATTCCCTTTTTGTCTCCTCTAACCCCCCCAAACCTATTTGTGTTTTCCAACCCCCCCACTCCACTCCTCCCATCCCATCCGCCGACATCCGCCCGCCGAAATCCGCCCTCCCGCCGCCCTCCGTCGGCCCCGTCCGCCCGGGGATCGGCGGGGATCGCAGGTGGAGGTGTCGCAGCGGAAGCCGCTGCTGGCGGCGCTGGCGGAGGCCCCGGATTCGAAGCTCATGGCGCTGGGCGCCGCCGCCGCGGAGGAGGCGGAGGGAGTGCCGGGGGTTTACATGAGGGGGTTACATGGGATGGATGTCGGTTGTTTTTCTTGTTTTTCTCTCTTTCCCCTTTTTTGTTTTGAGGTTGGGGTGTAAAAAGAAAATAGCTAGGCAGAAAACTACGAGTTCAATCCGCCAAAGGATTGAAATTTAAGGTGCTGAGAACAAGCTTGAAAAATTTCAACCCTTTGCTCCCATGCAGATTACCGTCGAGCCCAGAGAAGCTTCATCAGAAGCCCTTTTTAGGGGACCGATCCCCCAGTGTTCCATATTGCATGGCATGTAAATGCTATTGAAGACTAAACTCATTTCGAAGGTTATGTCGGATATTAAATGTACGTGCATGCTTGTTTGATGTGCAAAACACCAACGAGCCTTCATGTTTGTTCAGTGAAAGCCCTTGCAGTCGTCTGCAACCCCCCCTTGAACATTGCCTTTGATGGACACATCCCGCGCTTTCAAAGATGGGTATAGGGGGACCCCTTATTGGTTATATGATATATAATATATACATGATACATTATAATTATACACATAATATATATATATATATACACCACATATAGATATATATATATATATATACGTTTGTATATACATATATATATATATATATATATGCATTATCCAACTTTCACATGGGGAGTAGCGGTTTGTGGGGCATGGATCTGGATTGCCAAGCTCACAGGAGGTGGCAGTGGCCGGCAGCGCCGTGCGTGCCGCGTCGCGGAGCCGGGGCATGTCACCGCTGTCCCAGTCGCCGGAGGGGCCACGCAACGCCCGGCCTGCGGCACCTTTGGCCTTTGATTCGTTGGCATGGGTCAGGTGGACAGGCCTTGGCATATGTGAAAAGCTGGTTATTTCCCAGACACATATCAAGCAAGCAAAGTCGCAGCTCGGTTCCAGGTGCTCGGCTGGGAGCTTATTGTTTTTGAAGTTGCTGTTGGAGTGAGCAACTGCTTGTTTGGGCAAAGACTCTCTTGTTTTTTGAGACGGGCTTGCAGACTTGACCCATGGGCCGTTTTCTTGGGAAGCCACCGGGCAAAATAGCGATTTGAATGTGCCGAGGTTCTGTCCAGACACACCAGCCGCAACAACTTGGGCAAGCCGCCGGAGGACCCTCACGGCCCATCCCTGCGACGGTCCGACTCCGGCCGCACAGACCGGACGGAGCGCACCGACGACGAGTCACCTGGAATTCGGGATGGCACACGATCCCACAGCACCAGAAGGAGCCTCAACTGAATCTGATGGAACTTGGGATTTGGGTGCAAAACAAGTGTGTCCAATAGGAAATGGCCGCCAATGTTTGGTTGCTTTGGGATGCTTTGGTTTTCCCTTAAGCCATCCGAAAGGGGGTGCGATTTTCCCAAACACCAATTTAAGGGCCGTGTTGCGGGGTCCTTTCCCTCCGTTGGTTCCTTGGCATCACATCTTGGTTGCCGGCATCGATTTTGGGTGTGTCAACCACAGAATTGGTGGCCCCGACTATTGGTTCTTTTGGTTCCCCTTGACGCAACCATCTAACATGGAAGGTCCCCGTTTGCAAGAATGATCTAAAGATCGTAGACATCCTAAGTGGGGACAAAAATTCGCGCCGGGTGAAAACGCGGCCCTAAAAAAACGCAGGGAAGCGCGCTGAAACGCAGAGCATGGGAAACGCATCCAACATAGAAAAGCAAAATCACGTTCTATTTTGTGGTGGATTTGTAGGCCACACTGTGGCTTGTTTGGCAAAAAAAGACAGCCAAACTGGGAGATTGGCAAAGGGGATTGCTTTTTTCCTCTCCTTAACAAAAGCCAAACCAGGAGATTGGCACATTTGAAGGGGTTTGCTTTTTCCTCCTTAAAAAAGCAAAACCAGGAGATTGGTGCTTTTGAAGGGGGGTTGCTTTGTTCCTCTCCAAAAAAGCAAAGCCGGAAGATTGTAACCCCCGATGGGTTTTGTTTTTCCCTCCTAAAAAACGCAAAATCGGGAGATTGGCACTTTTGTCTAAGACATCCATTCATGGGGATTGGCCTCATGTGTTTACACAGAAAAATAGTTCGTTTACCCACACTAGAATCACCAGCAGCCCCAAAATATGTGGTTTGGTTGGTTTCCCGTTCAACACCATCCAACGGGTGGGTCCAATTGTTGGACATCGGCAATTCAATGTCACATGCTTAAATCCGCTATTGAAGGTCCTATTTTGACTCCCTTATGCTCAGGCCTTGTAGAAGGTTCCTATTGGACGCCGTTTCGTTTCTTCGGACTCCCAACCAACGGCGGAAGCAAGGACGGGTTGGTTTGTTTGGTTGGATGATTGGTCTGTTGGATATTTGGTAGGATGCTTGGATGGATGATCTTTGGTTTGTTCATTTGCGTGTTTGCCTGATTGTTGGTCAGCCGCTTGTTTCTTGCCAGGTCTGTTTGTTGGCTCGGTCAGTCGCTCGCTGGGTGTGCAGGCGGGCAAGCAGTGGTTTGGCGTGGTTGGTGGATGGGTTGGCAGGTTGGTGGGTGAGCCGTCCGGTCCGTAGGTTGATACGTTGGCAGTTTTGACCGTTTAACTGAATTTGATCACTTCTCAAAATCGGAGGCCTGCTCTTGCATCACCGATCGTTGCAGCGGTGCAGCGATCACGCTATCAGAAATCCAGTGGGCCACGCTGCGTTGAAGGATTCTATAGTGCATTCGCTGTCTTCAGCCTGTGGCCCTTTTGTTTGCTTTTTTTGCCAGCTAGATTCAAGCAGTAGAAGCACCTGCACAAATATTCAAGCTCACCAGTCCGGTAAAACAAAGATTGCCACCCATGATGAAGGTGTATGAAGGTCCCTTGTATGCAAGTTTCTTATTCAAGCTGGTGACTTTCTGGAATTTGATACGTTCATTCAATGAGCAAGCAATGGTCTATCAGTTCGAGCCAGCCTTTCCCTTTGACCTTGAGAATCCCGTCCAAAGTGTTAGGGAGCCTTCTTTGCCGGTACCCTCCGAAGCATGGAAGTGCACAGGCCCTTTCCGGAATTTCGGCACGCTACTTCTTGAAGCCCGGTGCATCAAACTACGTTTGGGACGGTGCTCTCAACCGAAAAGGGGGGTTCGCCCCACGAGTGGACGCAGTCCGAGGAGAAGGCGGATCGACTGCTCGCCGCAGAATGAGGCGGCGGGTTTGTCTGCCTCCACTGCGGCGTCTACGGAGTTCCCCTCCGAGTCGCCGCGGCCGTGGCTCGGCGCGACTCGCATTGGCGATCCAATGAGCTCGGATGCCACGTGACGTTGAACCAAACGCAGGCATTTGTAAGGACCCAGATACCCCGAGGCTCTTAGGACCCTGCGGGAATCAATTCCCCAACTAGATTATAAACATGGATGTCCTCCCGAAACCATAGTTATAGCCATTTGTAACATGTCCGTGTGGAAATTCAAGAGGCGCAGATCGTTCTGTGTCGGGTATCCTTTTCAACGGGGGGCAACATTTGCTGTTCATGGTCAAGCTGGGATCTTGGCTCAGCGAGTTCACCCAAGTTTTAGTGGGATGGACAACTGTTTTTTCCACATCTCAGGTGGCCGTTCCGCCCAAACAGACCAAAAGCCAAAGGTTGTTTGCTTCCAACCAAAAGGGATGGGACCTGATTCCTGGGTGTAAGTTTGGTTAAAGAGGTTGCTCCAAAGGTGGTTCTCCCTCAGCTACATAGTTTGGCCGCGGCTTCTTCTAGGTGTTTCCTAGAAATGTGTTAGTTGTTCAGGTTCCTTGCTTTAAACGTGATCAAGGAAAACTTCCACGCCTTCAGGAAGGGATCCCGAATTGTGCCCCTGTTCGCATATTTTGAGCGCGGGGGTCCGTATGGCAGTCTTGAGCGTCACCTTTTGGAAACGCCGATTTCAAGAGAGTGGGCGATTGTGGGATGGACATATGGCAGGGAACGTTGAAACCTTACATAGGATCCACGAGAGACAGGGGATCTCCAGCCCAGACAAGCCGGACCCGGAACGCCCTGTTAGCCCAAACAGGCTGGACCCGGAACCCCTGTTGGGAGGGGGGGCTTGTTGGTATTGCGCATCCCGAATTTGAGGGGAGGTTCTGCATAAATCAGATGGGACGGTTCTGAAGGTTCGGCAGCCGCACCACAAGCACGCCGAATCTCAGCAAGAGCCTGGAGGCCGGTTGAGGACTGCTCAACTTAACCTGGGAATGTCTCAATAAGAGGTGCGTCAAAATATGTCAAACTGGGTTGTTTCGTTTGTCCCTTTCTCCACCACCCACGAAAAAAAAAGGCTTCACCATTTTGAGAGACCTCCATGTGGCCATGAATTTTCATGGTTGGACCACTCAAAGTGGCTTGGGTCCAATGATAAGAGTCGCATTCCCTGCAAAGGTGTTGGTTTCCTCCCTCAGAGGTCCCTTGCCTCATGGGTTTCTGGTGACCGTAAAGGGGGCGCGGGGGTAAAAAGGGGTCCTTTGGTGCCTCCAATTGAGGGACCCTTTGGGTTGGCGGACGGCAGTCCCTTCTCTGTGTTTGGGGCCTTTCAGGCCTTCTTTCCATGAGGGGTGGATGTGTTTTGTTTTTGGTTGTTGTTGTTTTTTTGGGCGAGGGGCTGGCTCAGCGGGGAACGAACAGTTTGATGGCTGCTGTTGCTTATAGTGCCCCAGCAAGAAACTGGCCCTTTGCCAGCCTCTCCACCTGGCTCCTGGCTGCAAGTTTGGCACCATGCAATTGCATGTGCACTCGGCGAGTGGAAAGGGCTGCTCCATTGTTGAGAAGCTCGAGCCGTCGCGTGCTCTGGCTGAAGTGGGCTTGCAACATGGGGACACCACAACCGCAGTCGCGCAGAACATCAAGCTGGCTTCCAATCGGCAAGCATTTGCACTATATGTCGACGGAGGTGCTGTGCTCACTTGGGGCCATCCCGCGCAAGGCGGTGCAAGCTACCAGGTGCAAAAGCAGCTGGTGCGCGTCCAGCAGATCCAAGGAATCTCGAATGCTTTTGCTGCCATTTTGCACGATTGCTTTGTGGTGACCCCTAACTTTGGCGGCGACAGCAGCCGGGTGCGAGAGCAGTTGGTGCGCGTCCAGCAGATTCAATCAACCTCGTCTGCTTTCGCTGCCATCCTGCATGATGGCTCTGTGGTGACTTGGCGGCGATCCTAAGTTGGGCGGCGACAGCCGCCAGGTGCAGTTGGTGCGCGTCCAGCAGATTCAAGCAACCTCGTACGCTTTTGCTGCCATCCTGCATGATAGCTCTGTGGTGACTTGGGGCGATCCTGACAGGGGCAGCGACAGCAGCCAGGTGCGAGAGAAGTTAGTGCGCGTCCAGCAGATTCAATCAACCTCGTCTGCTTTCGCTGCCATCCTGCATGATAGCTCTCTGGTGACTTGGGGCGATCCGGTCGGCGGCGGTGATGTGCTGGGATTGAGACTCAACTTGACTGGCTGTGATACGGCTCGGCTTTGTGCAGTCCTAGTGTAAGTTTCTACGCGTTGTAGAGGCGCATGGAGAAGCAAACACCCAGAGTTTCTTTTGAGGGACCCTTTGGCCAACAGCTCAGACCTTTTTTTCGAGCTGCATGTGCTGAAGCACAAGCGGTCTCAACTGCCGGAAGGCCCCGGTGGGGGTCCTGGTGGTTCCCTGGCGGGCGTTAGTCTTTAGACCTGGGGTGCGGACCATAGCGGCAGCAAAAACACAAGCTCAGACTTGTTTTGGGCCAAGGCAGGGAAGTGCGGTGATAATGAGGGCACAATAAAAAAAAACATGAAGGGGGCACAGCTGGCAGTTTGTGTGTCTTACTCTTTTGTGAGGGAAATCCAGAAAGTCCGTCCATGTTTGAAGGAAGCTTCTTTGGGGGGGGGGGGGGGACCCCTTGTTGGATTTCAAGTTCTTGCAGGGAGAGTTCTGGGGAGAAGTGAGGGCCCTAAAGACATGTTAACACTTCTACCTCCCAGATGCCTTCCAGGGTACTTGCCAAGATACAATGCACACGTACGCAAATTGGAAAGTAATGTAGTTGCCCAGAGCGATAAAGGCACTGCAACACTGGAACCAGTGCGCGGGCCCTTCAGGAGTCAACAGCGATGGCAAGAAAGGCTCAAGTTGGCATTTCTTGCTGATCCCATGTACCTCTTGCGAGCCTTAGAAATCCCTTTCGGGTTGGGTTGGGGGGGCTCCTTTGGTTGAGCTCGTCTACGGCAAAAAGTCCCAGCTTAGAATGTGAGCTCCGGATGAATCCGGAGGAATGACCAGAGATGTCTCCTTGCAATTAATCATTTTGCACTAGGAGAACCACCCCAATGATGGGTATTCTGCTCCAGTGTAATCCGAAGTTGACATTATGCTCAGCCAAAGGAGAGTGTCCTGGTGTTGTGATGTCATTCATGTATGAAAGCTAGGATTTGTTCTGGGGAACAACAACATCAACAAGTCGTTTGAACTCGCGGGGCCTAATTGTCCCAACCCCCAGCCTGTTTAGTTGTATTCTCGGTTTATCGGGTCAAACCAGCTTGGACATCGAAGAAACAGCTTATGTTTTCAAATGTTGCATCTTTCAGTGGATATCACTGGATTCCACTTTGGGAGGTTCAACCAAGGTTGGATACTGAGGGTCCCTTGAAGAAGCTGATTCCCAATATGATATTTGTATATATATAATATACATATATATAGCTACGTGTCAAAATTAGACATCCTTTTGGTTGGTTCGGTTTGGGACTAGGAACGAGCACTTTGACTGTCTTAGGTTCCTTTCACAGGGATAAACTTGCACAATTCACCTAGATTTGTGGATTCCACTTGGTGCTCCCCGAAAATGTCTTCGAGTTGTTCTTTCTTCAGCACCGTTTCAGGTTGGTGGATCCATAGATTGGTGTCTTAAGAAACCGGACCCCGGAAAATGCGCCGCTTTTTCGAAAACAAGTCGCTTTCGTCCGTTCAATCACCCAAACAGAACACCGAGCCTCCAAAAACGCACCCGCACTCAACAGGCCGACCCACCCCACCCTCACAGAAACGCTGCGCAGGCCTCCCCCCGGTCAAAGCCTCCAGCGCCCATGAACCTCTCGACCGCGCTCAAGGGCACGGAGCCGGGGGACTTGGAGGGGTGCGAGCAGCATGGGATATGGAGTTCCAACGAATGGGATGCTCCAAAGTGGTGTTTTGTGTTGTTTTTTTGTTTTTTCCCCCGGTACTGTAGGTGTTGTTTTTCAAGAAGGCTGTGAAGAGTCGGCCGGAAACCGGGATATGAGGTAATGCATGGAAGGGACGTAGTCCTCAAGCGGAATCCTTTCCAATCTTCTCTTTGGACAATGGATTAATACAAACGGCCGGCGGCAAACCGGCGGGAGTTTTCCATGAGACCTCCCGTCTGCAAGCATCCCTCGGGCCTCAGGTCAGCCTCCTGGAAGTTCAAGGACGAGGGCAAGCGTTCCAAGTCCGATGTCCGTGGCCCGGCGACGATTTGGGAGGATGCCGCGTTGTGTTTGGTTGCTTTCATAGTCAAAGGGAAATCCGCCCTTGTTTTTGTCGTAGGCCTATTTGGAGACAACTTCACCCGGCAAGCAAGCTAGAATGACACCCTACAAATCAATTGCACCCACTCTCACCCACCCCACCCACCCGAACAGACCCCAACAGACCCCAACCCCACACTGAATCCACCCTAACCCACCGCCCAAACCACACTACACCCACCGCCCCCAACATATCCGAAACCAACCCTAAACCCACCCTAAATGAAGTCGGGAAGCCAACGGCAAACGGCGGAGAATCCTGTCCTTCTTAGGTGGGCCTGCAATGTCAACCAGGTAAACCTGGTTTAATATTAAATGAGCCAGGCCGATGTGGAGAGGGCTACTACGTCTTGCTCCCCTCACCACTCTCTCCTCCCCCTCCCTCACTTGCTGTTTTCCTCCCTCACTTGCTCTCTTCCTCTCTCATTCTCTCTTCCTCTCCCTTTCTCTCTTCCTGTCTCTCTTTCCCTGTCTCTGTCTCTCTTTCCCTGTCTCTGTCTATCTTTCCCTGTCTCTGTCTCTGTCTCTCTCTCGCTCTCCCTCCCTCCCCTCCCGCCTGCCTCCGTCTGTTTGTTTGTCTCCCTTTGTCTTTTCTTTTCTGTCCTTTTTTTGCTCTCTCTCTCTCTCTCTCGTTCTCCCTCCCTCTCTATAGTTGTGTCTCACCGGCGGGCACCACTTTGGGGATGATTTGAAAGGTCGCCAGTGTGAAGCCATCCAGCCTGAAGGGGCTTTCCTATAGACCCGTCGCTATTGGTGGCATTTCTCCCAGGCTTCGGAAAGGACAAGCCGCTCAACGACTTGGACCTTGAAGCTATGTCCAGAGAAGGGCAGGGCAGATCCCGCTGAAGTCGTGGACTGTCTTTTTGTCTGGCGTGAAACTGCGTCAAAGCTACTAGTCCCTCTTGGGGTGGTTTACAAAGAACATCGGTAAACAAGCAACTGGGAGAAGGTTTCGCACCTGTGGTTGGTCATTTTTGCAGTTTCATTTTTTTGGCAGAGGACCTCCATTCCCAGCAGCCCATACCTGTGAGTGGAGAAAGGCGACTCTGCCCTGCCCTCCTGCCTTGAGGGTGCGGCAGACAAAGATTGTCCTGTTCCGCCCCTTTGTTCGATGCATGCCGGCAATGACAAACGTCATTTCCAGGAATTTCGCCGTGCGGGTGAGATCGCCCGCTTGGCCCATAGCTCGCTTGACTCACTTTGATTGAAGTGCATGGTACAATGTCGTGGAGAAAGAAACTCGCAATGGTGCTGGGATTCGCTTAACAGCTTACCTTGCATGAACAATTGGATGCGATTTGGCCCAAGTAGTTTTTTCACTGCCGTGCGTGGCATATGAACTCATATGAATTCATGTTTGATTTTTTGGTGACGGGTGTTGAGGGATGGTGTTGGGGAGTCCCTATCACATTGTATGTGCATGTAGGGAGTTGATACCACGCATGTGCAGAAGACTTCTATCCAATTCAGGTACCTTTGGTTCATTTACCATTTTCACGAGTCTCATCAACTGTTGCGAGCATGCGTGTTGACTGTTTGGCTTTTGTATGTACACACTACGTTGGACCCCCTGAAAGCGCCGTTTAGTGCAGGAACCTTTTTAGGGTCCCTCATTCTAAATGATGAGGGAGTCAAAGGCAAACCGCGGTTGTGACCTGATTTTGCCTGCGTGGCCCAGTTTCCACTCAGTGACTGGTTCCATTATTTTGGGGGTGATGCAAATTCAGAGACTTTCGGAAGACGACTTTCCTCAACAGGGAGCCTGCGCACATCCATGTTCTGGGAGGCGGTGTGTAGACGAATCACAGTGGATTCGGCGATTTTCAGCGCCACTCGCGGAAAGCGATTTTTTCCCCGGGCTCCTAATGACGGGTAAGGCGAATCACAACGAGCTCACCAGGGGGCTAAAACGAGCTCACCCAAGATTGCAGATGCCTGACTTCAACTTCGAGCTTCCTCGTTTCCAGTCTGAATTCTAGCAGCTTGCCAGGGGTTGGGAAAGCTCGAAGAAAGCCACTCAGCCCCGGATTCCTACCCGCGGGGTGCAGCGCTATTCATCAGGGGGCAAGGTTTGGATTTCAAGGCATCTGTGAAGAAAGAGCCTGAAAGAAGTAGAACAAATTATTGGGCCCTTCATTGAAGGACTCTTTTGTCTCATAAGAACCCGCAGGCACCACAGTGCCACACGGCTGCTTTCCGTCTAACTTGTTTTTCCTCGAGAAGGGGCGCATAAAAGTGGAAGGGGCAATCACTTCATGTGCTGAAATGCGTCTGCAGTTGACGAGCAGCACTCAGAGATCTTGGAGTATATAATGGACGCTATTGGCGACACAGCAGCAGCGCGATGTTCCCTCCCTCAAAGATTTGTTTTGTTTGGTGCCACAATTCCGCGAAATCACGCGATGCCTTGACATTGCCTTGCGCACCTTCTCGTTTTATAAGGTTATTCAACGTGTTGCTGACCGCAGGTCAAGACAGAAACGCCACGATTCATCCTGAAAAGGCGATCCTGGAAATTGTATCTGTTGATGTTTTGTGACGCTTGTTCGGCTTCAAGTTACTTTTGGGAGTGTCTAGCTGGGAGTCTATAGCTCCTGTGTGGAGAGGATGAAAGGGGGGCTGAAGCAGGTCCATCAGTCTGACGCAGAGCGGGCAAAGACTGTGATGTGATTGGAAAGCGTCCGCTTCCTAGAACGGGCTTGTTTTCTGTCGTGTTTTATTTCCTGCGTTGTGGTTGAGCATGTTGTGATATCCCGATTATTCAAGGACGGTGCAAGCAAGCCAGTCAGCGAGCGAGCTACGTATAGGTGTGGGTGTGAGTGAGCAGTGTCACTTATTGATACTTGTTGGCCTTTTGGGCCACGGTCCTTCAAGCTCAGCCTTCTTGATTCGGAAGTTGCCTGCATGAATGCTGCTAGACACCAGAGAGCCCTCATTCCCTTTGAAACCATCCCAAGGGGTTCCCCAGTCACTCGCATGCAAACTGTGATCTTCTACTTGTCTTGGCCAGCAAAACTGACTGCGCGCAGCTTTTCTCGCTTCCAGCAAAAGCGTCCCGCCTTCAATTGAAGCTGTGCAGAGTTCGAAGCAATGGCATTCACCAGGCCCAGACTGAATCCAGGGTCCGCGTCTTTCCCTTTTTGAAAGGATCACACTTTGCAGTTTCATGATCCCCCTGTAATTATATGGATCAAGGATTCGAAATCCGCTGCTACAAACCCGCCTTTCCAAAAATGTTGATGGTGATCTTTGGCGGTTCTGCGGGTCAGGTGTCATTGACTGCCTGCCTGATATCTGGGAGCACCCAGTATTATAACTACGTAGGTGGTTCGAAGTTTGGCTGCTGGTGTAACAAAACTAATGAGAAGTCTAGAGGTAACCAGGAATTCTATTCGCGGCGTGTAGCCAGCACGCCCTTTATTGTATTTTGGATCCGTGGAAATGTGGTGTGGATTGAAGAAAGAGCAAGTGGTGTGTGTGTGTGTCTCCGTGTGTGTGTGTGTGTGTGTGTGTGTCGGTTTGCTGCCTGTTTATTTGTTGGTTTGGTTGTTGGTTGTTGGTGTGTTTGTTTATTTGCGAATTTGTTTGTTTATTTGTTTGGTTTGTTTGATTGGTTTGTTTGTTAGTTTGTTAGTTTGTTTGTTTGCTTGTTTGCTTGTTTGGTTTGTTTGGTTGGCTTGGTTCGTTTGCTTGTTTGGTTTGTTTGCTTGTTTGTCTGTTTGTTTGTTTTGTTTGTTTGTTTGTTGGTTGGTTTGTTTGATTGGTTGCTTGTTTGTTTGTGTGCTTTGTTGTGTGTTTTGTTTGTTGGTTTGTTGGTTTGCTTGCTTGCTTGCTTGCTGAGAAGCACAATTGTTCCATGCGCTGCATTGACATCGCATGGCTGCCTAGTTTGCTAGTTGCTCTTCGCAAACTGTAAAGAGCCTGCCCGGGGGTATGAGGAGCTCACTCATGATAAAGCTCCCTTACTTGAGGTTTAAGTGCTTCAGACTAGTGAATTACCATGATTTGTTCGGATCCCGGGTTTGTTTCCACAGACCGCATGATGCGAGTGTGCGATGTGCTGACGCAAGGACCAAGAAGGAGCACCCGCTGACTCTGTCTTTTGGAAGAAGACCCAAATTCTTGGTAAAGTCTGATCGCTAAATAAGCACCCCATTTGCAACCATTAGGTTCCGGGTCCTTTGTTTTCCTTTGGTTGGATACACATCCCTTTACACGATTTTATCACGAAATTCCTTTCTTTCAGGGAAGTGATCCCTTTTGGGAGTGCCTTAAATGTTCAGGAAAATCGTTGTGTGTGTGTTTTTTGTGATGCCAGGGGATTCCTCTTCTAAAGTCCAAAGTGACAACGTAGTCTTAGGTAAAGATATGCCTTGTGGGTGTGTCACAAAATGGCTGCTTTGCCTTTGGTTTTCTTAAAAACATCCCAACAAACACGTGCCCTCAACAAAAATCTATCCATGTCCTTCATTTTCAGGAAGGCCCTGCAGATTCACGTTTTTAGCGGAACCTCATCTTCGGGGCTCCTTTTTGGCGGTTTCATAAGGATGCTCTGTCTGTGTCAGGGCATTCATCTTCGCTCTGCAGATTCTGGTGGCGGCTGCCGTCTTTGGCCCGCAGGCATGAAACGGATATGCGTCGCAATAGGGGACCCCAATGGCGGATGTTCCTTTTGGTTTTCCTTTAAACCAACCTGAAAATGGTACCCTCAAAAGAATACACAAATAAGTTGATTGCCACATGACCCTTACATCCAAAAAGCTCGGCTCTCGATGTTGAGACAAACCCATAGTGCTCTGTAACCGCAGGTTTCCTTTGTTCATCTACATATGAGCATGGGTTGAACAACTTGCTTCGAGCTATTGACAACTTTGTGCCAGGCACGACAGTGTTTGATCTTATTGGAGTGCACCTTGCAACATGTGGGCGATCTTGAAGACCACTGCGTAGTCTGAAAGCCACCCACGCTGCTTTAAGAACACGTACAGTGTGTGAAGCGATTTCTGCTGATGTGATTGCGTGCTTCCCGTGACACATGTTATCCTGTCAGTACGTGTGAAGGCTTGTTGCCGCCAACCCAAGTTTTCCAGGTCTCGCTTTACCTTGCGTTACATGAGCGGGTGTGGGCCTGGTAGCATCCTCAATCACTTACTACCATCTGGAGTTGGTATATCAGGGATTTGTCTTTGGAGAGCCTGGCAGTAGCCACACTTCGCAGGAGGGTTATGCAGTCTTGCGGCTACTCCGTTTTCAAGACTCACATTCTGCCCTGAAGGACTAGGTCGGTAGTGCCCTTTTACCCCCTTTTTTGGGGGAGGGTTCCCCTACTAAAATTGAAAGGGTACCCTTGTAACCTCTCTACTGGACCTAGAGGAGTTGGCTGCAACTGTGAAGACAGCTTTTGCAGCGCCTCGAAGCAGAGTGCACAGAGCCACACAGCTCGGATCAGAGAAACAAAAAGCTTCTGGTTGACAAAGGACCCCCCAGATTCATTTGCCGGGCTGGCATGATCAACGATGGACCAGCTCTTCCTTCTGTCGTTCAGCACACTTCCGTTGGGTGACAGCCCGTCACACAAAGTCCACTAGAGAGGTCTGGCCTCCCCAGTGCAATTTTCGCGGGCCGCATGTGGCCTTGTGCCTACGGCGATCCGGCAGGAGCCAGCGCAGTCCTTCGTGAAGACGCCGAAGTGGGAGGCATGGCATGGGCCACTAAGCCAGCGGCTCGGGAAAGAGCGGGAACCTAGTCCACCGTTGACCTTTATCGGTGGCCCTGGCGCCTTTTTTCGGAGCAACCAGTTAAATGAACTAGTTTATTTTTGGAAGGGGGGTACAACGGTCGGGGCAATCAAAGTCACTCAAGTGATATTGTTTGCAAAGCAGTTGAGGCGACAGACCGCTCATTGTCAGTGCTTCCTGAGGATCCGGAAAATTGAAGAGACATTTGGAGAAAAGGGAACGGGAATCTCTCAAACAAGATGACAACCGGGAAAGGGACCTCTCTTTTGGGTGAAATTTGAAGGGGACCCAAGAAGACACCGAGCATTTTGAAGGCTCCCATTCCTATTTTAGGATTCCCGCATGTAAAGCCCAGGAGAACCGGACGCAATCACGTGGACCTGTTGACAAGCAAGGACCAACCACGAAAGCTTGCCTTTTCTTCCTCTTTCGCACAACTCAAAAGCATACCCTCCATTTGATTAAGACTATGTATTATTGTCCCTCTGTTGGTT